AGAAGGGGTTTCTTCTGCTCTCTATGTTGTTTTCGACTTCCCTTTTCTGTATATTTGTTTTAGTCCCTGTCTTTCTTATTGGGGGTTGTTCTCAAATGTCTGGTGATCCTTGGGCATCTTTTCATATTTAAAAGTGAGACACTAGAAGGCTGAGCTCTTTCTGTAGGATTAGGGCGTGTCCCCTGCTGGACCCACATGGTAGAGTGATCAGTAAGAACTTAGTCATTTCGTTTGGAGATCCTGAAAGTTGGATGTTTCTATAGACCTATAGTAACCCCAGAGAGGATCCTCCAATGTCTTACTTGAGGAAAATAAGCCTGGCTGCCAGTGTTCTTGGAGACTCGTCATAGGAAGGAGGCTAGGAGCTTCTCTGGTGAGTCTATGGATTTTCGCTTACTTTCTCTGTTTTTGGTAAGAACCCTTACCCTCACTTTCAGGTGGCCCGGTATTTCTGAGTCCAGAGCTTCCCTATTTCCACCTTCCCAGAGTGAAATCTGCAATCGTTCTGAGGATGAGAAGATGATAGTTTCCTTTCTACATGGGATGGGAGAAGAGACGTGGGGTCTAATGCTTCTGAAGAAGAATCCCAGTCAATCCCCCTTTTTTTAGCCCCATCTCACCTTGCCACCTGAGGGTCCAATTCCTCAGCTTTTCAGCATCTGCATCCTTCACCTTGGGAAGCTTCCTCCCACAGGGTCTGACCCCCTCTAGCCTGCTGGGTCATCGTCTGCTTTCTAGCATCTCTTTTGCTGTTTTCTTTGCTTTGTCCCAGTGGGATATTCTTTTTTGATCCCTTTGCTCTCACCTTAATAGAGTTTCAGGAGGAAGAAGAGATAAATGTGTGCTCAGTCTGCTCTGTACCCTCCTTCTACTGTAAAGAAATGGAAATAGGAAATCATTTTTTAAAACTATATTATGATGTGGATGATTCAAGAAAGACTATATGGAACTGTACTCAGAGGCCCCTCCTAGAAGCTTGACCTTACATTAGGAGTTTGGTGAATAAATAAGGGTATGTTTATATTTTTAGATCACAATAATATGCTTCAGCTATGTATGTTATTTATGTAAATTATTGTCTTTATTATTATTACTTTACAACTTTTCACTTCTATTTTTTTTTTTAAATAATTTTAAAATTTTAATTTTTTTTTGTAATTGACCAGTAGGGGGATCTGAACCTTTGAACTTGGTGTTAAAGGTGGTGCTCTAACCTGCTGAGCTAGCTGGCTGGTTAGCTCAGCTGATTAGAGTGTCACCTTATCAATTAATCAACCTATTCTGTTCCTGACTGTGATGTAAAAGACAGTCTCTTGACCCTATAACCTTTATTTAATAGCAGACAGTGGTTGTCTTGGACAAGAGGAAATGAAAGTCCAGGACAGTAAGTTCCATCTTTCTATTTTCCAGGTTACTAAGAAGCTAAGTTATCTGTAGAGGTGGGACTGAATCTAGGGAGTGATAGTACTATCCTTCGGCTTTTCCTTTTTCATTTGTTCATTAATTCTTTCAACAAATATTTGTTAGCCTTGTGCTCTGGTGCATCTCTCTATGAGAATACGGAGCCATTGACTTGACCCACACGGATATTTCCCGGTTGTTCATTCACAAGCACAAAAGGGACATCGTAGCCCTCTCCTTGGGCTGGGTACATATTGATGAATTTCCCTTTTTTCCTACTTTTTTTTTGGCAGCTGGCCAGTATGGGGATCCAGTATGGGGATCTGAACTCTTGACCTTGGTGTTATAACACCTCACTCTAACCAGTTGCGCTAACTGGCCAGCCTTCTTTTTTCAACTTTTTGTCAGGAAGTAAAAACATATCTTTGTTTTCTTAATTTTGGTCAGGGAGGCAACCACCCATGTGAAACAATGGTGGTAAGGGTAGGGAAACATTTAGTCCTTGTGTAAAGGACTAAATACGCAGTAGAAATTCCTTTTCTATGAAGGGAGTCATCTGGGATGCTTTAACAAAAGACACTGGTTAATAGTCACTATCAGATACAGGGACTCAACATAATTTTAGTCCTCATTCAGACTACCATACAGTAAGATTTAGAAGAGTTTAGGCTCCAGGAAAGGTTCTCTGGATTTTATTTTCAATCTTCAAGCTACCATGTTGCAGCCCAAAAGCCACGTACTTTACCAAAAGCAGGAGGAAGAATCGGCTTGCTGAATGGTATGGCGAGATCCTTTTCTGGATCTAGGTCTTCTCAATTCTGGGAAAAAGTTATTTGGAAAAATGATATTTCTTGGAAGAACATAGTTCACTTCAATAGTATGAAACAGCTAGCAGTTTTAGCCCACAAAGAAATTCGGTTCCAAATGACCTGGCCTGACAATTGTTTTTGGCGTGTAGCCTTCCCATAGCCACACAGGAGGCTAAAGGAACTCTCTGTGTCCGATATTCTATGTCTCTGTGTCTGATATTCAATTTCTATGTCTAAACCAAAAACTAGGAATAAGAGTGTCCGTATGCCCAAGTGCTGTCATTTTTCAAAAATCTCTCTCTCTCTCTCTCTCTTAGTTCCCCTCCAGCTTTCTACTCTTTGCATAAGATATTTTTCTGGTTGTGGAGGGAAGTTGGGGAGTCTTTACAGATGGTGTGTGTAAAGGGATGTGGGCTTGCTGAGAAGTGACAGAAGCTATTGGAGCAGAATAGCATCTGGTAGGTTTGAGGGAACATGTGGGAACCAGGACTAGAGAGGGCGAGAGAATCAGCACCAAAAACTGGAAAGGGAGGCGCAGAGGCCAGGGACGGGGTACAGGTGGGGAAACCCGAGAGGTAGGGAGTCATCCGCACAAAGAGGGAGGGAGCCAGGGTTTTTTGGGAGTCCTTCATGTATGCTTCCTCTATCATGTTGTTGTTTCGTGGTAGACTTCTGAGATTTGAGAAAATAAGGGGTGGGGATAGCTCCCATAATAGGAGGAACTCACAGTAGCTTTCACAAGCCTAGAGTTGATTTTCAAATCTCTTTTTATCCGAGCCTCACAACTCAGACCTGCAGGCCTTGTGCCTGAGAGGGGGAGGGGAGAGGAAGCCCTAAGAGTCCATCCTTCCTGCCACAGCTCAGGCTCATTAACAGCAAGAAGGTCTCTCCCTAGAAGCCCCCTCCCTGCCTTCAGCCTGGAACTCAGAGGGAGGACTTTGGGAAGGGAGATGGTGTCGCTGAAAAATGCAATATTAACAGTCAGTAGTTACTAAAATTGGCCACATTTCAGAAAATGTAAGCATTCCATTTTTTCCAGACTCAATGCCAAACCTGCCTTCTAAATTCTGGTTTTAGACTGAGGGTTACTGCCAGATGCTTATAAAAACAACATAAACTGGGCTGGCCCATTAGCTCCGTCAGTTAGAACGGTTAGAATGCGGTATTATAATTAGACTGAGGGTTACTGCCAGATGCTTATAAAAACAACATAAACTGGGCTGGCCCATTAGCTTCGTCAGTTAGAACGGTTAGAACGTGGTATTATAACGGTTAGAATGCGGTATTATAATGCCAAAGTCAAGGGTTTGGATCCCCGTACTGGCCAGCTGCCAAGAAAACAACAACAGCAACTCTGTTTCCCAGCAAGAGCTTGACTTTGATCACAGGACTTTCCAGCCCAAGGAAGATCTGCCACGTGAGTGTAGTTGTGAGCAGAGCATGGCTCCGGGAGTTCTGTGTCGTGGGGGCTGTGGCAACCAAGGACCACCACAGAGTGTAAACTTGGCGGAGGGAGGAGCATATGGGTCCCACAGCAGAAATAGATGTCACCATCTGGCACACAAGCCCTGCACATGATTCCATTACTTCTCTGTCCTACCCCTTATCCAGGTTGAGTGCAGACGGCATTTAAGATATATTTGCTTCATTTTCTGATGACATAATCCTGGCTTTAAGCAAACAGAGATAGAAGGTAATGTGCTTTGTTAGGGGTGTCTGCCAAGGTGGAGCTCAGAGAAGAGGGGAGGCGTTTCTCAGGATAGACTACCTCTGACATGATTGCTTGGATTGGAACTGGGGCATTTCATGTCAGAACATGAAGAGTGTAATCCCCAGGAGGAGGCCAGTTGGCACTGGAGGGCAAGGAAGATTGATTCCTGGGTAAGAGGCGGCTCTGCAGAGACATTTTCCAGAGACACATCTTGCCAGCTCCCTGTATGACTTTCAGATCAGACTCCTGGGTATAGAGCTTGTTAGGTGATTTGGTGATTAATTTTGTGTGGATTTCAACATAAATGCCAGACTATGTCAGTCTGGGGTATAGTCAATAAAGCCAGATGTACTGTAAAAGGCTTATTGGACTTAAACATCTATAATCTTGATGACTGTGAACTTTCAGGATCTTACTTAGGGTTATGGAATTTTGGAGACCCAGGGCAAATGAGGTAAATGGATTTCTCCTTTCAATGTTTTTCTTGTTGTTATTCAGTTTGTCCTTTAGTTCATGTGGTCAGGTTATTCAGTGGCACGTCCCATGTAGATTCATGATGTCCTCCATCAGCTATGATACCATGCCTGGATTCCAATAACAGGATGGCATTTCATCAAATTCTAAAAGCCATGACTATCTGGACTGGAGTAACCTACTCCTTAAAAAGTCTAATAAGATACAATCTGGGAACAAACCCCAAGCTTGGAACTCCTTAATGAGATAAGTGTGCCTTGGCTGCAGGCGTTGTTTTCAGAATCACTCACCTTGAGAAGGTTCCTTTTTTCACCTAAGGATGACATGTCTGTGGGTTAAAGATCAGTGCTGTTCCCTTTGAGTCAGGGTGGTGCTGACCACTCCTTCCCTATTGTCCTTTTCTGGCCAAGCTGGACTCAGTAGCATGGTGTGATAGGGATGCATTTGGAATTAAATGAAACTCTGGAGGCCTCTTCAGCTTCCCACCATAGACAGTGGGTAGCTGGAGTGGCCTCTCAGTCAGTGTCATCCATTCTGGAGACTAGACAGAATCCTGGTTCTGCTGATGGTCAGCCAAAATTCTGTCTCCCTCCGCTCCCCTCCAGATCCATGAGAAAGAGGAAGAAGAGTTCAATGAGAAGAGTGAGAACGATTCTGGGATCAACGAGGAGCCTCTGCTCACGGCAGATCAGGTACGAGCATCTCTCTAGGTTCTGGGGACTTTGGTTCTTTTGATAGAAAAAAGTTTGAGAACATACTTTGCACACCCATTTAAGGCAGAAAACAGGTGCGTGGTCTTGTGGTGGATGTGTTGATGACTCAGTGTCTTTGATAAGGGATTTCACTTCTCTCGATGCCTCAGTTTATCCACCTGCAGTGGACACAAACAGAATTCCTGACACTTGTGTTGGCTGGAGGCAGTCTTTGACAGCAGCCAGAGACAGGCCTATGGTTACTGGCTTAAATTCCTGCTAAGCCTCTTATTGCAGTTCATTGTTCTTGGAGTCAAGACATTTAAACAAGGGTCTCAAATACCTGTTCTTCCAAAAAGAGAAGTGTGACAGACAAGGCTTTTGTGTGATAGATATTTTTTCACATTTCATAGAACACTGAAACTTTTGAGCCTTCCAAAAGGAACCTTAGAGACACTTCTGTCTTTGTGAAAAAGATATGGTGCTTTGATTGAGTTAATTATATTTTAGTTTTAATAATTTATTACTTGAGGGAGGATAATGTTGAGTCTTTGGATTCGTATCCAACATTTTAGTGAACAAATATTAATGGGTGCTTATTTTGACACCATATACTTTTCACAAAGTCATTCTGAAAAAGCTCCACTGGGAGCCTTCAGTGCCAGAAAGTGCTTTTTAGTATAGAGGTGCTTTTTCATATCTGTGGTAAAAAGGTGAGATTTCAAACAGGTGAGGATTAGGAGATTGAAGGGAACCAGGTAAAGAATAGGGGCTAATAGTTATTCTTGTGAATCGTAGGGGGAAATACAACTGGATGATATTCAATGATAACTACTCTTAGAGAAAGAGAAACTCGGCCATAAAATTATAAAGGGGAGTTGTGTCATTTGGTTGCATTCTATAAAATGGCTTTCAGTACTCAAATGCTAGGTATCCCCTAAATTTGTGAGTAGAGATGAGAAAGTTTGGGAATAAAAATAGGAGTTTTTCTAAAGGAGGAGACCTTAAGCCCCCTTACCTTGGGTCCAGCCTAACGAACAGAAACCCATTTCAAAGACCATAGTTGAGTGGCTTTGGAGATTGAGTCCCTCATAGCATTGAGAACAGACAAATGTATAAATACACTGTTGTGACCAAACTCATCTACAGGCTCACTTTTAGAAACAGTCTTTGCTTATGTGTTTTCTTTAGGTGCAAACAATTACTGTAAAAAGTAATTCACCCTATTTCTTTTGGCAGATTACCCTCTACATCTGGTAGCTGCCCCTTTCAATAGTCCAGATTAGAGCAGGGGTTCTTGTCTATTTTCTGCTCTCCAGACCCCACTTATCTTTTTATTGTTTTACTATCTTTATTTTCACTTGTTTCTGGGCAGCTTCAGATCCTGTCCAGGTGAGTTCTGAGAAATTGCTATTTTCCTCCCCATTTTCAGTTGTCCTAGGAGCACTTTGTTTTTTTTTCCAGCCATGTGGATTGTGACAATTAATGGACTGAGTTTTATGTTAAAGTTGGGTAGATAAAATATTTTCCCACTTGGAAATAAAGCACTCAGCAGATTAAAGTAAATGTTTGCTTCCAGGCAGCTGTGCTTTGTTTCCTGAAAGAGTAATTTTCAATAAAGCATTCATCTAAATGGAGCTCTTGGAAGAGGTTTTACATTAAAGAAAGAGTGTATGTAAGCCTTTGTCCGAATCTATTTTTACTATTATTTAATATTTATTAAGAAACAATATTGCCCTAGGAATTTTACAGGCAGCAAATTAGAAAGGTCCTTAACTGATCAACGTTGAAGCCTTTGTCCGAATCTATTTTTACTATTATTTAATATTTATTAAGAAACAATATTGCCCTAGGAGTTTTACAGGCAGCAAATTAGAAAGGTCCTTAACTGATCAACGTTGAAGTCATCATGCCCCTCCAGCAGCGAACAGAGTCAGCACTCTCTTGTGTACCTTCTTCAGGTAATTGAGGAGATTGAGGAAATGATGCAGAACTCCCCAGACCCTGAGGAGGAAGAGGAGGTTCTGGAAGAAGAGGATGAAGGAGAGACCTCCTCCCAGGCAGACTCAGTCCTTCTGCAGGAGATGCAGGCCCTGACACAGACCTTCAACAACAACTGGTCCTATGAAGGTGAGGGCCCTGGGGGCTGGGCTTGCCGAGGATGGAGCGCCTGCTCTGTGCCAGGCACTGGGCTGTGTGCTTCACACATAGCTAACAGAACCTCGTTCACTGCCCCAGAGCAGGACTGGCAGATCTAGGGAGTCGGCAACACTGACTTACTTTCTTAGCATCAGAAGAGAAGTTCACATTTCTGAAAACATAAAAAATAAAAATAGGGCACCTAAACAAAATTTAAATGGTAAAACTAACCAAAGAACAAGACAAAAACAGAATAAGAAGAAATCCAAACAACTATCTAAAAGCAATGAATGATGCCACCATAAAATCAAAGGAAAACAGTACAAATGGTATTCATAATAGCTCAGTTTTTGTGGCTTCTATTTGCCAGACCCTATGTTAAGAGTTTCTATGCATAATCTCATTTCATCCTCACAGAAGCCCCATTAGGAGTGAGCTCACTGAGTCTTCAAGAGGTTAAGTGACTTGTCCAAGGCCACCATTAGGGAAATATAATGAAAAACAAAATCTCCTCCCTGCCCAGAAAATCTCTCCACAAAGGTAGAAGAGAAAAAACAATTTTATTATTGAATAAGCATTAAACCTGAATGGGATATGCATCACAGACAACCTGCTGGAGAGATTGCAAAGACAGAAAGAAATCTTACTCTTGAATATAGCCAAGTGGATAGAACCCATTACATTAAGCAGGGTTTGCAATTTGCAGTCAGGCCCCTCTGCTCCCAGAACAGTGAGTGGTAGGTTGGGTGCTATCTTCTTTGATGACTACATTTCAAAGCAGTGACTCTCAGGCCTTTGAGATAACCTTCTTGAGTTGTGAGACTGGCAAGAGGCTTATTTAGCCATTAAAAAGGTTTAACATGCTTTGGAAAAGGACAGAGAAAGAAATTCTGAAAGAAAAGGGAGGTGGAGCAAAGGGAAAGTCTCCTCCCTGATATTCAATAGAGAGAATTAAGCCTCTCATTTTTAATTTGTATTTGCTCTTATACTACTGGTCGTAAAGAGTGGAGCCAATGTTTGAAGCCAGGTAGGTTTTTTTTTTTCCTTTTTGTCTTTTTTACTGACCGGTAACGGGATCGCAACCCTCGGT